CCTTTGATAATGAATATATGACCGTTTAACGGATTTGCATGGCAATTGATTCAATTTAATATACGGAAATCTAATAATAAGTTTATCTTTAAACATCGTAAAATGTATTCCAAGAATGATTGCAGTAATGTTATTTGTTATTCGTTACTGCATTTTTTGTTATTTCCTGTATAGAGTTCATAAAGTCTTATATATCCAATTCTACAGTTCAGTTCTCTTAAGAAAGCAGAAACAAATTTGGGTCTTATCGGTTTAGCCTTTGTGACGTTTTCAGGGAAAAGAAGATGTTTAAACATTTAAATATCAAGGTCCTAGAAAATCAAATACGGTTTTTGAAACTGAAAGCAAATCTAATATTTCCTGTTCTCAGTTCATATATGATCTAATATTTCCTGTAGGGTGTTCATATATGATCTAATATTTCCTGTTCTTAGTTCATATATGATCTAATATTTCCTGTTCTCAGTTCATATATGATCTAATATTTCCTGTTCTCAGTTCATTTATGATCTAATATTTCCTGTTCACAGTTGATATATGGTCTAATATTTTCAGTTCTTAGTTCGTATATGATCTGATATTTCCTGTTCTCAGTTCATATATGATCTAATATTTCCTGTTCTCAGTTTATATATGATCTAATATTTCCTGTTCACAGTTGATATATGGTCTAATATTTTCAGTTCTTAGTTCATATATGATCTGATATTTCCTGTTCTCAGTTCATACATGATCTAATACTTCCTGTTCTCAGTTTACATATGATCTAATATTTCCTGTTCACAGTTGATATATGATCTAATATTTCCTGTCCTCAGTTTATATATGATCTAATATTTCCTGTTCTCAGTTTAAATATGATCTAATATTTCCTATTCTAAGTTCATATTTAATCTAATATTTCCTGTTCTAAGTTCATATTTAATCTAATATTTCCTGTTCTCAGTTCATATATGATCTAATATTTCCTGTTCTCAGTTCATATATGATCTAATATTTCCTGTTCTCAGTTCAATTATGATTTAATAATTCCTGTATAGAGTTCCCACATGATCTAATATGTCCATTTTAATGTCCCTGTTCAATAATTCAATAAAATGCACTTAAATTAACAAAATAAAGCAGCTTTCTACACGCAAGACATTAAACTGTCTCTAAATGACAGGGCATTTTTTATATTACATAATAAACTAAACAATTAACTATAAAGCAAACTGTTTTTCAATAATTAACAATGAAAAAGACCATCTATAGGTATATCTGGACGGTACTCTGCAGTACCCTATAAAAGTGGTTGCGAATTACAATATTTCTGAGAAAAAAAACAGGAACAATTCAACCTTTATTGCCGGGAGGGGGGGGGGGGTCATTACAGCGTAGTTCCTAGTTCTCACATCTTTGTCCTTCTTATTCTATATATAAATATATAATATATATATCCAAGGTGAGAACCTGAAATATAATCTATCCTGAGATCAAAACTTTAAATCCATTCGTAACACGCGTTCAGCTAGTACGGATACCCTTTAAGGGTTTCCAATAGGAATTCCGTTGCGCGGAATTGCGCGGAGTTTACAGGGCTAGCAATATCGCGCAAGAAAAATCGGCTTGTTTTGGAAACCCTACCTGCCCGGCGAATAAATTAGACATTGTTTACCTGGTTTTCGCCTGGATTGAAAACTTTCCTTGAGTTAAACATCAATTTAAAAGTGTGATAATTTACATAGAGTTAACTACAAAAGGTTTGCTCCCAAAATAAAAGTGACTTGAAATTATTGACCCATCCACCATTTTAACCCTATCACAATGGGGTAGGGGGGGGGGGTATTTTCCACCCCTTCTCTGTGGTTTTTACCTTATTACTTTAAAAACTCCTTGAAAAGTTGATGTAGAAACATGTGCCACATACTGATATTTGACAAAAATGAAAATAAATATTTTTAAAAAATTGTTCGACCTACTTTTTGAACTTTTTTTCAAACCTCGATCTAGCACCCTAACTACACTGAAGTTAAAGGTCTAATGTTTTTTTTAATGAGCTGGCCTTGAAAAGTTGGACTAGGGACATGAATCACACTCTGAGGGAAAATCATATTTATATTAGACACAAAAACAGTTAAAGTGATGTAATATCCTTCAAAGTTGCCACTGTGATTTTTGAGTTTAGTCGCTGCTGCTTAGCGATATATCGATCAAAAGTTTTAGCCTCCAGGTTCATCATGGATGGATGCATGCTCAGGGATTCAGTTCATGCACATTAATTATAGAAGAGAAATCAGGATAAAATTAATCTTTAGTTCGTCATTGGGAAATATATCTATTAATACCATCATTCCATTTCAATACTAGTAATTTTATCAGTTATTTTATTTTATTGATTATATTTGGGATAGACTTGATTAGATTTGGAGTAGACAAAATCATATTTTGGATATTTTCAGTAGAGTAAATATGTACACAAATTCAAGCAATATATTTAGAATCCATTTAGAATAATAATAACAATAATAATATAAGACTCTCCAGATTAAAACCAGTTAAACGCTATGTTTAAGTATTTGTGTGTGCTTTTTCTAATGAATTTATCATGAGAAAGCTGTGTGTAGTGTTTGGCACCAAGATACCAAATACCCTCAACTTAGGAATATTTAGTAGTTCTCCATATACACCTCACCCAACCCTTAGATCTCCATATACCCCCCAACCAACCCTTAGTTCTTCATATACCCCCACCCAACCCTTAGTTCTTAGTTCTCCATATACCCCCACCCAACCCATGGTTGTTTGGTGTTAGAATTAAGGTTTTATGCTACGTGATTCTATAGTGATAACCAAAAAACAACAGAATAATTGTCGATATTTCTTTTGATTAGAAACGCCGCGATTCGTTTTTTTTTGTAACTCTGTCATATCTCTGCATATCTCTAGGTATAGTTAGGAATTGAAATGTTCAAGGTTCTTCATGGCTTATGAATAATGTTTACTCATGCCGAATATGTAAACCTGAGCGAAACAAAATCAACCAGAGCTAGAAACTCTTGAATGGTGGATACCGAGATTAATTATTTTATTATTTATTCGATGGTTTTCGTAGGAATAGGAATAACTAAGAGAACTGGATATCGAGCTCAAGCGATCGGTATTATGAGTTCCCGGTTCAAAGTTAAGATTTTGTAAGGTGAAATAAGGTGTGTATGCGAACTTGAAGAGCAAGAATACAAGTAAAAAAATCTTTGAGTTTTTAAATTTTTGTGGAATCTCCATGGAAAGCCTAAAATAGTTTAAAAAATAATGTATGGCGTACAACTTCTATTCTTTCTAATTTTAGAGATCTGTAACAGTTACAAATTATCAAATCTTCTATGACATTTCTAATCAAAAGAAAGAGCTTCGACAACATTTAACTTTTTTCATTTAATATTTCATATTTAATATTTATCTCAGACAATCAATGCATGAACTGATTTTGGAAATGAGAAAATCGAGGTATGTAAAATGTAAAATGTAAAATTTTAGAATAATAATTAATTCAAGGTAAGTCATAAAAGATTGCATATGTAAAAACGACTTTTAAAAATACTTTTTTTTGTTAAAATATGCTGAATTTTATAGTAACAATTTTATTTTTATTTTTTTCCTCATTTGATTTCCTTATATTTTAATTTAATTAAATTTTTTTAAGTATTAAATCATTTTTAACCTTTTGTAAATAAAATATATTAAAAGTTAAAGGGAGTGACTGGCTATGTAAGGTAGTTGAACTGAGTGTGCAGTGTTGTGGAAAACTTCTTTCGGATTCATTTGAGACATATTAAAATTTTTAAAGATCTGTAAATCCTGAGTTTGAGCGCAAATTCGACGTTCAAAACTCCTACTTTGGGGGTGGATACGTTTTCGGAATTAGTTTTTTTAAATTATTAAATAACGACGACATAAAATGTAAAAAAAGTTCTACAATAAACTACAGACGTCATGTATAGGAACATGTTGAGAAAATAAAAATTAATCTTATCATCGAAAATAAGTATTATTGTTCAATTATTAGATTCTATTTTCTCATTATTCATAAAGATTTTTGCAGATTTTCTAGAATTATTATTGAAAAACGACATTTGAAAAATTTGAAGAAATCTGTGAATAAATTCAAAGAAGATAAGAAATTCAATATAATAATGAAAACGAAATAATCGATTTTAGCATTGATTTATTGACAAAGGAATTGAGTCTTTGTCACAAACTCTGATTTTCTAAGACCTATATCTTTGCAATCCAATTTCGTAGACGTTAGATATTTCAAACTATGAATTCTGTTATATCAAATAGCCCAAGTTTGAAATATCAAGGGCGCCATTAGGTTGTCAAGATATAAGGATTAGAAAATTTGCGTTTGTGGCAAAAACTCAATTCCTTTCTAATGAGAAATATGTTCCTAACCATCTAATTAGATTACTGTAGAATTTTTACTTTATTTTTCGTTGTCGTTATTTAATAATTTAAAACAAACTAATTCTGAAAACGTATCCACCCCCAAAGAAGGAGTTTTAAACGTCGAATTCGCGCTCAAACTTAGGATCTACAGATCTTTAAAAAGTTTAATATGTCTCAAATGAATCAGAAAGAAGTTTTCCACAACACGGCATACTCAGTTCATAGCCGGTCACTCCCTTTAATACGAAATAGAAATGAACTTTAGCAATTAAGTTCTTAATTAATCACGTAAGTTAATGATTATAAATATTAAATTAAATTAAAATATTCTTTAAACTTTCATATAAATCAAAATATGCATTACACCGAACACAATTAAAAGTTTTAATCTAAAGTTAAGCTTAAAATTACTCCCCAGAACCCCTTCCTTTCTTCACCCTTGCCCCCCCCCTCTTTACCCTCCCCCTCCCCCCCCTGACAACTGAAAGTGAAAGCATACATTATTGGGTAACACAGAGTGTTCAAGTTAACTACACAGTCAATCTAATCTTCCGGGGACTGCAGGGGACATTAGTTCCAAAACTAACACTTGGCCCATTTCTAACACTGAGTGTTAGAAATGAGCCAAGTGTTATTTTTTTTTAACTAATATCCCCTGGACTGTCCTTGTGTTTTCAAGTGACCCTCCATTTAAAGAGGTATATGCTATTTATAACAATAATCTTTAAATATGTATCTGATCAATTTTCTCTGTGTTTATAGATATTGTTGTTTGTTGGGTTGAAAAGTATTTAATTCTGATTCGGAGGCCATTTGTTATTTAATAATTGATATCTCATGAACTCTTGATCAGACAAATTATTTAAGAGTACCGTTGTAAATCTAACAAGAAACTCTATACATTAAGAGTCACTTGAACTATCGCCAACAGTTTCTTTGTACTCGGCGAATATATCAATACAATGAAGACAAGTTTTTTAATAATAATGCTTTAATCCATTTTTCAAATTCTAAGTTTACCAGTAAACAAAGATAAGCTGTTAATTGAAAATTTCTCTTTGTTTAAATGTTTATGTGTTTCTGCTGTTTATAAGATCAAGGTATAAAGTTGAAATAGAAATAGAAAGCTGTCTTCATTGTATTGATATATACAAAGACGACTGTATAAAACAACCATCATGTTTAGAGAGACATAGTGTGACGAAATGTTACACACACAGCAAAAAGTCATGAAAAATATCAATATGAATGTCGTCTTTATTTAAGATTATGCTTGCTTGTATGCCTGGCTGGTTGCTAATCTATCTTCTTGTTCTAACCATTTTATCATTCACTTCGTCCTCACCTTCTTATTTTTACAAAGGTAACAAAATATTTTGTACAACTACTTAACAGAGAAAAAGTAGTTGTACACAATGTTATCGTCTTTTGAGAAGAAAATGCCCCTCTCTATTAGAGAAATGCATTTTCAACCATACATATAAAGTTATGTCCGGATTGACATTGATAGTAAAGTATTACTGATCTCGTCAACCATAAAAAGAAGGAACGAGTATTGGAACCCATAAAGTCATATTGATAGCATGGTATTCGTGGAACTGTGAGTTCCTGATTAAGTTGTACCTGGATTGATACAGGCCTAAAAGACTTTTATGGAGTAGGGCATTTACTACAATGCGAGGAATTTGGCATAAATTTGACCTTTTTCTTGTATTAATTGAATTGTGTTTATTGTTTTAAAACCTATCAATAAACAATGTACGTCAAGATATGCCTGACTGCTTTAAAGATATGTTTTTAGGAAAACTGATAAAATGTCCTCCCTGTCCTATACTTGGAACTAATTGCACTCTGCAAGGGGTAATAATTTGTATTATTATCACTAAAACTATATAAATTCAAATTTTCTAAACAAAGGAACTGAACTCTTGCCGCAAACTTTAACGTTCTAATTCTGATAAGATTGCAATCATTTGTCAACTTTTTTACTATTTTTCTTAATTCCTTTGTGATTTCTTTTTATGAATGGTAAAAATTTTCTTATTTTTATTAATTAATTAATTAATTGCCGGAAAACTTCAGTTTACCGTACTCAATTTTGATTTATAAAAATAATTATATTTCAATCTGTGGCTGTGTAAGACTAAGGTTATAAAGGTACTGTTGTGATTCAGACATGCCGGTCTATGGAGGTTAAATTAAATTATGTCTTAACTCTAAATTTCTGAATAAAGGGTTGTGAATATTGTAATGGTACTGGAGATTGCTCTAATGAAGGAACATGTCTTCTTCAATTTCGGGGATGTTTATCCGCTTTTTTAATTATTAAAAATTATCTTAAAGTAAAACGATTATTTTAGGAACTAAAGACGTAATTTTTGTGTGTCTGATTAACAACAGTATCCTTTGAACCTTTGTCTGATCAAGGATGACAGATATATCCTTATTTTTCTTGCTAAAACTTTAGAAACCATTTGATATTATTCACTTGGACACTGGGCATTCAGTTGTTAGCTCGCAAACTAAGGACATCTGATCAGGCAAAGGTTTAAGGGTGCCGTTGTGAATCGGACATGCTACCCTATAAATGGAAGGTTACTTGAAATTATTATTTAGGTTATTATCTATATTTTTTCAGGAAAAGTGTATACTGGTAAAAGAGTGGAAGATCAGCTTGGAACTATAATTTCATTTGGTTTAATAGCTCTCTTTCTAGCTATTATATCTATTATATGCTGTAGGTAATAGCTCTCTTCCTAGCTATAATATCTATTATATCCTGTAGGTAATAGCTCTCTTCCTAGCTATTATATCTATTATATGCTGCAGGTAATAGCTCTCTTCCTAGCTATTATATCTATTATATGCTGTAGGTAATAGCTCTCTTCCTAGCTATTTTATCTATTATATGCTGTAGGTAATAGCTCTCTTCCTAGCTATTATATCTATTATATGCTGTAGGTAATAGCTATCTTCCTAGCTATTATATTTATTATATCCTGCAGGTAATATCTCTCTTCCTAGCTATTATATCTATTATATGCTGCAGTAATAGCTCTCTTCCTAGCTATTATATTAATAATATTTTGTAGATAATAGATATCTTTCTGGCTATTATATATATTTTTTTTGCTGCAGTTAATAGCTCTCTTTTTAGCTATTATATACACTATTTGGTGTAGGTAAAAGCTCTCTTTTTAGCTCTGATGTGCTGTAGGCACTTAGTGCATATAGCTTCTTTCGCTCTTTGCTATATTCTATAGATATTAGCTCTATTATATCTATCAAACATTGCTTGAAAACCCAAAACTTTTGTCTATTTCTATGAATATATTTAAGTTTTTAAACCAAATTAAGAATATTCTCGTGGTTCTAATTTAAGGCAAATTGGTCAAGGGGTTTCTGAGTTTTGATCGGACATACAAACTAACAAGCAAACAAACACTCAAATAGAGAGAGATATTTTTAAGAAAAATATTTGAAAAAAAAATTCTATTTTTGAAAGAAATTAGATTTTTGAAAAAATAGAAATTTTAGAATTTTTTTAGCCTACGTTAACCCTAGGGTACCAATGGGTTCCCTCAAAAAAAATCAGTCCATTCGGTCCAGCTGTTTGGCCGGCTTTAAGGAACATATATTCGAATGTGTTTTTTATTATATAGAAAAGATAAGATTCTCTCTGATATAGCGGCTGTAGTTTTAAAGTTGTTGTTTTATGGTGTCTGAGTGGTTATGTATCTATCTGTTTATGGTGTCTGAGTGGTTATGTATCTATCTGTTTTTCCTACCTGGCTTTCTGTATAGAGTTTAATTCCTTTATTCAAGATTTTACCACCAGTCTATATTCTAAATCCTCGGAAAGCTATAGTTCTGTTTTAATAGAATCTACAGTTTACAGTACACACAATATTAATGTTATAGAACAGGTACTTGTAAGCTATAAAAGCTTATTATTTAAGGAATTATCAACGAAGCTTGATGGTTCATTTTCTTGTTTGTTGGACCTGTTTTCGTGTACAGGGTTATCCACAAAGGATGAGACTTTAGTTTTCTTGTATTCATGGTTTCCTGCAGCTAACTTGTTTCTTTTACGTCCGAATCTTACTATACACCAGTAAGCACGACTATATTTCCAACAGAACCCATAACTCAACTCTCAATGGTTCTATTTAAAGAGTTTTTATGTCGTTCTTAATATTAGAACAGAAAACGAATTGAAAGAACTTAAACCACATCCGGTTCCAATTAAGCACCGCGCCGAATCAAATCCATAGATAAATAAATAAACATAGATAGCTTATGTACGCAAAATCAACAAGAATTGTACAGTCCGTCAAAGTCAAAGTGTACTTTAATGATAAGCGGGGTGGTTTGGTGTTTTAATGAATTTCATAATAGAGTGTAAAATAACTCTATCATGCTTTTTAAAATGATAAAAATTTATATCTAATTCATAATTTAAAGACAACGGTTTTATTGATTGTGCAAGTAATGACTCTGACGAACGAATAGCATATTACACTTCTATGAGAGTTAAAATAAGAAAGCCAAATAAACTCAAACATTAAAAAAATAGATAATAACTATTAATAACACAGTTATTTTGGTTCGCAGTGTTGTGAAGTTTTGGACAGAAATTTTCTCTTTATCGAGAAGGTTTTGTCCCAAGCTTTAGCGAGGGACAAATATAATCTAAAAAGGCGAAACCTTTGGGGTATAGTGAAAATTTAAGTCGTGCCAAAATAATAGCGTTATAGGTAATTTTATGAAACGTTTGTGTACTAGTTCTAGATCAAATAAACTTTAAAACAAAGCATAAGTCAAAATATAAAGTTGATATTAATTTAATTTACATTTCAATTGAAAAAAGAATATTCTAAATTTTTGGGAGAAAATCCGGGAACCTATCAAAACTTTATAGTTCACGTGCTATAATTTACAGCTAATTTAACTTTATAGCACGTTTATTATGAAATTCACGATTAAGTGATGAATAATGATAAAATACACAATAGTTTCATAAAAAATCTGGCCAAATCTAAGCATGCCTGCAGTGAGAATATGACAATTAAACTTGTCTTGCAATTATGTATTTCATCATATAATTATATAGGTATAAATATAACAAAGGATCTAAAAATGATTACTTCTTGCAACCTGATGATGTAAACCTTTGATATTTCAAACTTTAATCATTTGATTAAACAGAATTCATAATTTAAAATATCTAAGGACTACGAGATTGGGTTACAAAGATATAAGGATTAGACATCAAAGTATAAGTCAAACGACATCATATTTATATATGATCCGTAAGCCTAAAGAAACCAATGTTTTTCATAATAACAGAATAGTGTTTTCTGATTGGCTATTACTAAAACAGAGCTGCGAACCTTTGTGTTAGATTATAGATACCCATAATTCCAATTGCTTGATTTCGGTATCCAAAGCGGACACTTTTGAATATGCTTCATTAATTGATTTTTGATATCTCTAATTTCTCTGTCCTCTCGTTGACTGAGAGGAAAATTCTTTGGCTTCTGATTGGCTGTTTGTTTTCCACAGACAACACTTTTTACAGGATATGGAATAAACATTAAATTTATCAATAGATTAAATTAAAATCAAGATCAAGCATTTATCTTGATATCCACAATACACCTAGCTCTGAAGAGTGTATATCTCCTAGGGTATTCTGGTCTGTTTGTGGCTGGAAAGGATGCTGTGAATGCCAATGCTCTATTGCTCTTCACTGTTGTTGTGAACCCAAGGTATCATTTTTTATATTTCAACAAATCTAAAAAATATAATGTTGTACTTATTCTTCTTTTAGCTAAAATTATTCTACACTTATTTAATATTTTATTTCAGATTCCAAGTCTTCGAGTTATTCCAGCAACAGGGGACGAGATAAGACATGGAATATCTTACAGGTCAGTCATCATCATGAATTTGAAACAAATTCAGAATACTGGCATTTCTCTTCTAATTTAAATATTAAAGTATAATAGACATTGAATGACTGACACAAATGTTGCTGAGTTTATTCCAATGCTACCAGGACATACTTAAGTTAAGTTGGTTTGGTATGAACCCTGACATTATTAGCTCAATTGTTGGGTTAGTGTGAACCCTGACATGATTAGCTTAATTGTTGGGTTAGTGTGAACCCTGACATGATTAGCTCAATTGTTGGTTTGGTATGAACCCTGACATAATTAGCTCAATTGTTGGGTTAGTGTGAACCCTGACATGATTAGCTCAATTGTTGGTCTAGTGTGAACCCTGACATAATTAGCTCAATTGTTGGTTTGATATTAACCCTGACATAAATAGCTCAATTGTTGGGTTAGTGTGAACCCTGACATAATTAGCTCAATTGATGGTCTAGTGTGAACCCTGACATAATTAGCTGAATTGTTGGTTTGGTATGAACCCTGACATAATTAGCTCAAATTAGTTTGGTGTGAGCCATGACATAATTAGCTCAATTGTTGGTTTAGTGTGAACCCTGACATAATTAGCGCAATTGTTGGTTTGGTATGAGCCCTGGTATGATTAGCTCAATTGTTGGTGTGGTGAGAGCCCTGACGACATAATTAGCTCAAGTTAGTTTGGTGTGAGCTATGACATAATTAGTTCAAGTTGGTTTGATGTAAGCCTTGACATAATTGGCTCAAGTTCGTTTGGTGTGAGTCATGACATAATTAGTTCAAGTTAGTTTGGTGTAAGCCCTGATAAGTTTTAATATTTAGTAGTCAACCACCCCTCCACCATCATACCTAGAAATCTATCCTGATATTCAAAATAGGTAAAAACAAAAATAAAATGCATTTTTTTAATTTAATATTTTTAATTTTTAAATAAAAAATTAGAATTGAAAAATTAATATTGGTTTTCTTCTTCATACAGTCCAAACTTATTTACTCGACACGTTTCTCAACACTATACTAAAGCCCCTTTGACAAATATAGCATTGCATAATAGTGTGATGTAGCTCTTCCATTCTCATATCAGACAGAGGTTAAAAAGTAAATGTATATGACAATATACTAACTAGATATTTCTCTTTAAATCTTTATTTTTTCAGCCCTTCACAATTTCCTCCTTTGGACATTGATCCCGAAATTGATGAACCAACTGATAACAGGCCTCGTGAGCTGGATAGTTCTATACTAGCGACATTTGCCGGCAGTTTCAGTTATAGAGAAGACGACATTTCTGATTGGAATTCCATAACATCGATTGCATCGTTTCCAGGGGAACAACAAGGTTAATTAAAGGGAGTGTTCACCTTTTTGAAAATTCACTTAATGTCCAAAGTTTAAATTTTTTTAAACAAAGAACACAACTTTCAGACGTTCTTCAGGATCAGAACTTTACAAAAGTTTTATAAATTTTGAGAATTCTACATTTTTATCCGGTTATATCCAATGCTATTTTACTTAATCTAAATTAAAAACCGGTTTTAATGACCAAAACACTGGAAAAGGAAGACGTCTTTTAGGCTCAAATTATGACTCTGAACAGTCCAATGAACATGGGGCACAGCAATTGTTGAGTGAAACAGACCCATTTCATTAAATTAGTAATTTAATACGTGTGTAGTAAAACTGTTTGCTTAGTATAACCTTAAATGCACTTAAGTATTGCTATAATTTCGTCTTCATATTCCATTGTTTTCTGGTTATCACTGTGTTAAAAAATCATATTTTGATTAAGCTTTAATTCAGACACACCCACACCTAGAATCCAAGGGGAAAGTAGTGTTTCTGTAGAAAGAGATATTGAGCAAAATATTGCCAATGAGGTAGGTTTTAATATTTCTATTCAAATATTCTCCTCAAAATTAAAGTATTTCAAGCGAACTATAGGCCTATTTTTCATTACTATCATCTATACTATCACAGAAAAAAATCATATTTCTTTTAAAAAAGAATTAATTTTTTTTCTATGTTTTAACAAATACAAATTTAAGGTGCCAGGTCATAAAAGTTTCAATTCTTGATGATGATAACATCTTTAATATTGATAGTATGCAGTTTTTTTGCTATGTTTCAGGCCGAGCACTTGTTTAATGTAAGCCGACATTTCAATACAAGAAGAGGAACTGAAAACTCTATCCGTCCTATCACGTGCTGATCTATTCTAATACAAGAAGAGGAACTGAAAACTCTATCCGTCCTATCACTTGCTGATCTATTCTAATACAAGAAGAGGAACTAAAAACTCTATCCGTCCTATCACTTGCATGATCTATTTCAATACAAGAAGAGGAACTGAAAACTCTATCCGTCCTATCACGTGATGATCTTTTTTAATACAAGAAGTGGAACTGAAAACTCTATCCGTCCTATCACTTGCTGATCTATTCTAATACAAAAAGAGAAACTGAAAACTCTATCCGTCTTATCACTTGCTGATCTATTCTATTACAAGAACAGGAACTGAAAACTCTATCCGTCCTATAACTTGCTGATCTATTCTAATACAAGAAGAGGAACTGAAAACTCTATCCGTCCTATCACTTGCTGATCTATTCTAATAAAAGAAGAGAAACTGAAAACTCTATCCGTCCTATCACTTTCTGATCCATTCTAATGCAAGAACAGGAACTGAAAACTCTATCCGTCCTATCACTTGCTGATCTATTCTAATACAAGAACAGGAACTGAAAACTCTATTCTTCTTATCACTTGCTGATCTTTTCTAATACAAGAACAGGAACTGATAACTCTATCCGTCCTATCACTTGCTGATTTATTTCAATACAAGAAGAGGAACTGAAAACTCTATCCGTCCTATCACGTGATGATCTTTTTTAATACAAGAAGAGGAACTGAAAACTCTATCTGTCCTATCACTTGCTGATCTATTCTAATACAAGAAGAGAAACTGAAAACTCTATCCGTCTTATCACTCGCTGATCTATTCTAATACAAGAACAGGAACTGAAAACTCTATCCGTCCTATAACTTGCTGATCTATTCTAATACAAGAACAGGAACTGAAAACTCTATCCGTCCTATCACTTACTGATCTATTCTAATACAAAAAGAAGGACTGAAAACTCTGTCCGTCCTATCACTTGCTGATCTATTCTAATACCAGAACAGGAACTTAATACTCTATCCGTCGTTTCACTTGCTGATCTATTCTAATACAAGAACAGGAACTGAAAACTCTATCCGTCCTATCACTTGCTGATCTATTCTAATACAAGAAGAAGGACTGAAAACTCTATCCGTCCTATCACTTGCTGATCTATTCTAATACAATAAGAAGGACTGAAAACTCTAACCTTCCTATCACTTGCTGATCTATTTTAATACAAGAAGTGGAACTGAAAACTCTTTCCGTCTTAACATGCCAACATACAGGTTATACAATACACAATAATTTACAGAACAAGTTCAGAGATAATGTTTGCTTTTTAGTGATAAACACTTCTTAGATAATGAGATGGATTTAATCATTTAAATTTGTCCATGTAGCTAACATTTTCAGAAATTATACATTCTCAAGCAACTTAAAAACTTAAATCTATTTTGAAGGTTTTACGACAACCTGTCCATTGTTGCTCTGGGTAGCCTTGTCTTCTGTGGGGTGGGCGGAGCAGCCGTGTGGTTAGGCGTGGCAGCTTCAGGTGGTCTTGCTGCAGCTGGAGATTCATGGGATCAGGTAGAGTTTGAGGAAACTGGATGGACAATGAGCTAAACTGTATTCTAAAGGAAAGTGAACTATTTACCGATGAATTAAACTATATTGTATTATATGGGAAAGTTAGCCAACCAATGAACTAAACTGTATATTGTATTATATGGGAAAGTTGGCTGACCAATGAACTAAACTATAAATTGCATTGAAAAGAATGTTGACTATTTACTAATAAATTAAACTACATATATTGTATTGTAACATTTAATCCCTTGATGTCGTTACAATCCCAGACATAAATCCTAGGGAAATCAAGATCAATCCTTGCCCCCCATCTATGAGGGTTAATACAAGACTTCACTTTCATTCCCAGTACCTGTTTATAATTCACCCAAGCCTCTCATCTTGTGTGTAATATCTATCTCTCAAGGTCTTGAATAAGTGGGTTTATCAATCTACATTTTATTGGTACAAATATATCTGTTAATATCTTTTTTTATTAAACCATATTCCATATCTCTGTAGAGTCCCTCAGCGGTAAGACAAGTCTCCACTAGCTCTTAAATAGGAAGAGTCCCTCAGCGGTAAAGCAAGTCTCCACTAACTCCTATATAGGAAGAGTCCCTCAGCGGTAAGACAAGTCTCCACTAACTCCTATATAGGAAGAGTCCCTCAGCGGTAAAGCAAGTCTCCACTAACTCCTATATAGGAAGAGTCCCTCAGCGGTAAAGCAAGTCT